ATAACTGTCTAGGACATTGCGAAATGAAAAATTAAAGCCAACAATTCAAAATATCCAGACTTAACTTAATAGCAAAAAACAACATAGATGATCTTCTACTTAGACCTCGCCCTCTTCCTGCTCGAAGTTGATGAACTAGTATCTTCCTTGGACTCTTTAGCGCCCGCCACCACAGCAATGTCGCTTCCTCCTCCATCCACACACTTAGCAGCGACGCCTCTAAGAGGTTTCCTTGATGCTCCGCAAAGTCTTAACTCTTTGACATATTCACCAAATCATTCTCGAACTCACCATTCCACTCAGACATGAAAACACACGAAAACACACCACAGTCCCTAACGTCGAAGGCCCTGGGAGCTTCTTCATCAACCAAGAAATCCCATTCATGCATGGGTCGATTTCTCACACCATTATTCTGAAGAAACTCACTTGCATACTCAAAGATCCTCCTACCCACTGGCATTAACTCGAAGAACAAGTCGTCCTCTTCATGCAGTATGCTTTCGAGGAGATAGGTTTTACATTTCCTCACGTCTGCAGCGTACACATACGACATGCCCGATCCTTGCTCATATACTGGGAACATAAACTGAACGCCCCATGATAAATTACAAATGACGGAATTTTAATTTCACATTAGTTTTCATAAATACAATTTGTATATGAGCTGCTTACCAGCGTACAGTCTTTGAAAGAGGCACCGGGGGGTAGAGGAAACATCTGCAGATCGTGCTCGACTTTCCAAATAGTAGCATGGATAGTTTTCCCATCAGGAACGCAACGAGCATCGCGGTTAGCCTTCGCCTTGTCCCGACACATTAAAACACAAACGTTAGTGGAAACAACCAACCGTTCGAAAAACCCTTAACAATAAAACAATAAAATTATAGATGTTTAAACACATGGTTCACCCACACTGAGGCAAATCGGAAAGCAGAACTGTCAGTTTCCGCGTTGATGAGGCGTCTGTAGGTATCAAGCACCTCCTTATCGACCCAGTTCCGGGGCTTCATCCTTGACATCCTTTGAACATGCTCACTGATTTGAGAAGGATCCATACTTATTGTGTTGGGGTGAAGGAGGGGTTAGGAGGAGCGGTTTTTGATTTATCAAAACAATGGCGGCTCTTATGGAGAAGACGGGTGCTTTGCTCTTTGTCAGTTGGGTTCTTATAGGAAGTTAGTCAGAGTAAGGGAGTATGTCGTTTCAATTACCCACCAATTATGTTGATGACAAATGGCTCCGCGCCCAAAGTGTTAAGCGTCGATCGATGCGATCTCTCGCCCGTTCGATTCCTAATTTTTAAATTGAATACTTATCCGGTTGTAGTTTCATATTACCGGGAAACCAGATCCTTGAATAATCCAATAAATTTGGATGTAAGTATACAATAACAGTCTATCGTGGGCCCAAATTTGACGAATGGGCCCATAACGTTGAGTTGGTAATTAATCTGTGTATTCAATGTTTTGGGCCTTTACTAATGGACCCATGTTACATGACAGTGAACGTAGGGAGGGGTTTCACAAATGTACCTCGAGATACCTACCAATCTTTCAATCTTATATTCAACATATAGTGGTTCTAACATTACAAAGTTCCCACATCAATCGATGGAAAATTTGTCTATCCAGGATAAACTACCAGTTCCTTTCTCACTTTCTTTACCCAACTCGGCTTGTTTCTTATTTGTGCTCGAATTCGGCGGCGGTATTTCATGTAACCACTTCATGAACTCGCATGTGAAGTAGAAGTCGTTCGTTCTTAGTTGAATTAAAGGACCACAATATTTGATAAGTAGACATATAAAAGCTGTGTCAATAATCACATTAGCAATACAATATGATAAACGATTTGTACCATTTCACCGGCCCAGATGCAGCTCAAGTATTCCTTAGATTTATCTTCACTGCTGATCATTCTGGTAGCCTTCAACCCACATGAGGAAAACATCGACAACTCATCTAGTGCTCCGCTTGTAGTGTCTTTGGCCATCCTATTGACTCTATCGAAGGAAAATGAATTTTGGAGCTGATGCTAGGAAAACGTTATGGTGCGTATCATTTATAATGGATGTGTAGACTCTACTCGGCCCACTCAGCTCGTGACTGTGACTTTGATGCCATAATATTCCTGACGTAATATTCGTTGGCAGCTGAACGAATATTTTCAGTAGTTGTTTTCTTGTTTGGTCAAATTTTCATAATGCACGAAATGTATTTGTTAAAAAGGATTTAGACATTTTATTGGCCCTTGCCATTAACAATCCTTTAGATATTGGTATCTCTGTCTATATTTGACTAGTATAGTCTTCGATAACAGAATGCAACTATATAGGCTGGAGGAATATGGTGTACACACGCAACTGAGTATGATATTACCTGTTCAAATATTTAATATTTATTATTTATGAAAAACATCATTACTGGACTATTAATAGTAGTGGATAGAAAACACACTTTATTATACAAAATTACAGATGATGTTTACGAATACTGGACTAATAACATTCGACAATGATAGAATGATTTATAATTACCTATGCCCCACTTCAATCTATATTGAATCCTTCTTTTGTGTTGTCCTCTTCAGACTCGGACTCGGTCAAGTTGTAGTCAGGGTACCCTAACACCCTCCTTCCATCATTATCTTCATTAGCATTATTTTCCAAATCTAGAGGAGTGCTACCGAGATGCTCACCTATCAATGAGTATGAACACTTGTTTAGATACCATAAAGAGGTGCGCATAAATCAATGTGTATTTGCAGAACTTGTTTAGCACTAACGCAATGACAACCAAGTTACTTACCAATTGGACATCCTCCACGGGGCAACTATACTTTCAACGGTCACCGCCAGACTCGACTTGTAACTCAATTAGTGCTAGGAGCCCGCAGTAGTAGTAAACCTTGCATGGCAACGACCCCTCCATCTTACCACCTGAAGTAGCTTCGGAGGGGGGTGGTGGAGTTGTTGTTGATGAATCCATTGGCAAGACAAGTTCCAGTGGGTGGTGTGTGAGAAAGTGAGGATGGCGTTTACTACGCATGAAGGTAGTCATATAAATAGATGCACAGGCCCAGGAAAAAAAAATACATTGGACCTCAAACAGGTTCACTTTGCGGACTGTGTGTCTTTTGGGCCGAAGGGAGATTCGGGATATTCGTAGTGAATATCATATTCTGGTCTCATAGAATATGACATTTTATCTGTCCAAGTATTGTATTAATACACATAAATTACTAGTAAAAATATCATAATAGCAGATGTAAAATTTAGTATTCGTTATTGATAGTAAAAATTTAACGCACATAAATTACTCATCTAAATGCGTAATAGTTTCTATGGTCACACAAGAATCGGGTTAACAAATTCCACTTGCTTTGGATTTCTAAACAAATCAATACAATCCTTCTAGTATGTATATTATAACCAGATGTGCTTACTTTCAAAGGTTTTGCTGAAAAGTGAGAAGGCGCTTCAAATTTTCGCGGGCCAAATAATTCATTAAGGCGGCCAATACAATACTGTTTGAATTTTGAATTTTTAGGTACGACGACGACCTCATTTAACAATAGAACTTTTGTGTTGGGAGAGAAAACCAACCAAATATTCACAAACCCTAAATCGCCAAAGACAGAAACTTCCAATCTTCCGTCGAACAAGCCCGAACTAAAGTGTTTGTGGTATGCGTAACCGGTGGCAACTCCTCAGAAGATTTCCAGACAATCCTCACAAGTTCTTCCTCATGTTTGTACTGCAAAGTTAGGGTTTCGCAGGTAGGATTTGATTGGACGGACACAAGGGGGAAATTACATGGACGGGGGCGAGAAGTTTCAGTTCCGCTGTAGAATGCTGGGTTTGCGGAAAATCATTAAGAGGTTCATCGAGAAAGGGGAGTAACTGCTTGATTGCAGGCGAGAAGTGGAGAGGATGAGTTTCGGAGGTTACTGGAGGTTGTAATGACATCGATTCCCTCCTCTACAGTGAGGGGCCTACTTGAATGCTACAATCCAGAGTCTGAGAAGCTGGAGGTAGGTGACGGGATGCAAATTAGGTTTGCACCATCCGACGTCAGTAGGGTATATGGTTTACCTGTGGGAGGATGGCAGGTGGTTAGGAGTAAGTGTTCCGGCGCCAGGCTCAACATTATGGAGGAAGAGATTGGAGTCACTGCCAACCGCGGAGGGACTATTGATTGCAAAGTCCTGCTAGAGGCATTAATGTGTTGTAGAGTGCCTCGTAGATTTGGTAAACTATTCGTCCTGTACGTTGTAGCGACACTACTTGGTCCTATGAGTAACTACAATATCAACATCAGAAGCTTCGCCGAATGTATAACAGGGGATAATGGTAATGTAAGAAGGTGCGACTAGGCAGGTCTTGTGTGTGACCGATTGAAATAGGGGATGTTATATTGGCACGGCAAGACCAAGAACTTTCCCTCCGGTGACAATCATTTCTTGCTGGTATGTGTTATCAATTTACTTCTGGAATAACAATTATCATCCATACCCACAGTCTTATAATCGATTACATTACACTACAATGCAGGTGCACACGTTGGACACATTGAGTAGACGTGAGTTGAATCTGTTCTCCTCTCCCGCCTGTGGACTATGGGACGACGAAAGGGTGCATAAATCACTTTTTTTCATCAGCGAGTCAAGCGGGATCCCGGCTGTCATGGCAACAGAAGCAGGCAATGTGGACGGATCAACCATGGACATAGCAATAGATACCGAGTGGGAGGATATGTTTGCAAACGTAGGCAAATATGATGTGTGTTGCCTTCCTGCTAATTATACGTTATGATAATTGCTATATTGCATTCTAGTTCAGAATGCGTTGTAGCCTTTCATACATGTCTATGTTTGTACAATGATAAATTAAGTAAGTGGTGGGGGTGTGCTTTTTGCGCAGAGGGAGGTTCTGACAAAAAACTGCTAAAAAACAAGTGGAACGATGGACTAAACGCCATATCTACTCGTCCTCACAAATGGATGGCAAAGTGATTAGAGCAGGTGTTATTAAGACAACTGCAGCCTTGGTAGATAGAGGCTTGGAGGACTCGGACACGCCCTTGATTCATATGTACGAGCTCTTCAAGTCGACGAACAAAAGTAATCGATTAGGAAAGGAGAAAGGGGTACAAAGCTCCATTGTACGAGTCGAGATTGATGCATTGTTGAATGAGGTACATGTGGATGTTGGGGTAAGAATGGAGGAAGAAGAAGAAAATGAAAGGGGAACAAATATATCTCCTCAGATAGATGAGGAGGATAGATGACACGCTAAAACACAACACCAAACTGCGACCAAGTGTATTTGCAGTCCGGAAATGCAGTAACAGGCAAGCTCTATTTGTCAACCCAGGGTCTAGATCTACTGCCTACTCAGTGAATATCTATTATCTAGCAAACTAAGTCGAGTGATTGTGATTTTAACTGAAAGTAGTAAGAAAGCAGGAAATGGTTCAAAGTAATTTAGCAAGGGAAGAGTCACTAGGGAATGAGTCCCCCTAGCTCCTTAGTTAGGTCGAGGTTGTAATTACCCTGGGTTGATTAACTGTTGATTAAACCGCGGAAGATCCGACAGTAGTTTGGAATCTCTTAAGCTGACCAACCCTTTCAGTCCAACTACCCGACAGACGACTAGTCTTCACCGGGATCGAAAGCTGAGGCAATGAGCAAAACTCAACTACTGGAATTGGATTCTAGTACAAAGCAGTAAATCGATTAACTCTCGTATAATCAATCTACCACTACCGATTGATGAAGCTCTAACAACCTAATCAGATTCTATCTATCTCAGGTTGCAGCAGAAATCAAGAAAAGATGACCAGACTTCAACTGACTCAATGAATCATGCATCAATCGATTATAATCAATCAGTATAACAATCCCAAGTCATTACAATCAAGATCCCTAACACATGGAACTAGGATTCTTCATACCCAAGTGAGCGAGGGTTCTACTCCATACAGAGAGAGAGGAAAACAAAAATCAGAGTAGTCATACTCATAACGATGAGGAAAATCTGCTCTAGGATGATGATCTTCACTCCTATGATGATCTCCAAGATCGATTGATGAAACCCAGCTCCAAAGTCACCTCTAGGATGTGTTCTTCGCACTTTCTCTCTCCAAAACTCTATTTTTGCTCAAAAACTCGATCCCCACTTCAAAAGACCCGAAATTGGGTTAAAACCCAATTCTGCCCAATCACACGGCCAGGCCACACGGCCGTGTAAAATCCCCAGCTGTCCGTGTGGAAGTGCAAAACGTCGCGTTTCACTTAAGTGGCTTCAGGTACGCTACACAGCCAAAACCACACGGCCGTGTGGATTTCCAGTCTGGCCGTGTGAGCTCCCTGGACTTTCCACACAGCCACAAGGGGTCCCATACACAGCAGTGTGGCTTGCCCGCGTCATGGAATTCCATACGGCCAAGTCACACGGCCGTTTGGAATTTAGGTCTGCCCATGTGGAATTTCCAACTTTTCGTCAAACGTCTCAACTTCGTCCAATTGACCCTGAACTCGTGCCCAAACCTTCTTTAACATACTAGGACCTAAAATATCACAAACAAGAACAACCTAGAGTGAAATCGGCCTAAAACACAAGAGATGAGACTCAAACGGTACAGGAATGGTGGATAAAAACATGTGTATATATCAAGTCATCAAATTCCCCCACACTTAACCGTTTGCTTGTCCCCAAGCAAACCTGAACCACACCAATGCAACTCTCCAGACCTCTATAACAACATGCAATCCCGATCGTCGGCAGAAGATTTTCTAGATCATTTAGCAACTTACGAGGTCAACTGGTCTTCTAAGATGCCCCCTATCTCTCTCAATGCGAGTACTAGAATCAAGTCAGGATCATGGGAAGCAGTGGAACTAAGACAGCCAATTCATGGATAAGGAGACTCACACAATTCAACAACCAAGGACTCATTGTATCGGGTGCTATTTCATTTCATTTCACTTGGTGGAACCCCTTCTTCTTACTATTTGTTTCTTTTTTTTTTTGATGGGGTTCCAACTGCAGTTTGTATGTGCCGTCTGCCCTTATTAGGTGAGCAAGAGCAATTTCTGTACATCTGTCACTCGCCAGAGTACTTCTTTTAACTCCTATTCCTCACTTCGTGTGGAGGGTCAATGAAATTAAGAGGGATCGGAAGCTCTATCCGTGCCCTTAAAAACACATCCTCAAGTAGGCAAACCGTTCAACGGGTGGAAATTTTACTTGTACTAGAGACAACTTAGCTTCACCTTGTAGGCCTACCCCACCAAGGGTCACTAAAATCTCTTCCAAAACCCGATTTTATGCAATGAACGATGCCACACACGTTGGGCTTACCCCATGTCTTTGAATTTCAAATTTTTGACATGGAGGACCAAATGCTTTTCCATTTCACACTTGAGCACCCTTTTTCAATACACGAGTCCACAACACAACATAAGAGGAGTCATCAATACCACATGAATCAACGGTCCTAAATCCACTAGTTCACAAAATCAACCGACACAGTAGAGAGACAGATAGGACAAATCTTATACTTCAACATCCTCCATAGTGCTACAACTACCTCCCTAGGTTGCATATCACCATAAAGACTGTCAATTCAAAGCATACTGAGCAGGATTTTGCAGGGAACAGTACTTGGAGCCCTCAATTCATCAAATTGGACAGTGGACTAGGCTCCAAGCACACAAACTCATCTAGCAGTCAAAAATAAATAGACACCCCCCCCCACACACACTTAAGCACGACATTGCCCTCAATGGAGCAGAGGAAAGATAAGGGGAAACGATGTTACCGGGAATACGGACTGTCGGGGGACTGGAAATGGGACCAGTCAGCAGGTCTAGAGTTATCAAAACACACTGGGTGATAGAAACCATAGTTCCAAGTGGACAAACCGAAAAACAAACGAAAGAAAAACAAACCTTGGTGGGGTTGCCTCCCCACAAGTGCTTCTTTTACGTCTTAGCCGGACGGTGGCTCCTAAGTTTCGGTCCACCCCAAAACCTCCTTGAAGTTAAGGTTCTCGTCGATGATGTGGAGTCTCAAGTCACAAGCAGGTGATGTGATAGGTGATGAAGATGGCTCGTTGCCTTGAGGAAGATGAAGTCTCCACTCACGAGACCTCTCCTTTGCGTTTGCTCTTGTCTCATTGCCCCAAACCATATAAGATATATTCGATTGACCACCATCGCATCCACCAAGAGGGATTGATGTTGATGTGGCCTTGGTCTGGCAAAGAGACACTGCAAATGGGTCCTTGCCAACCAGCTCCTTGAAGTTTGGTGGAGATATCAAATGTAACATAGGGCCGGTGCAAGCCTCTTCCACCTCAACTTCATCTTCAGCCTGGACGCCAATTGCTTCCTCAACCCCCCTTCCTTCTTCAAAATGTGGTCTCTCCCCTTGAAAAAGATCAAGAACTACCTCTTCTTTGCTTTCTTCCTCATCCTCCACAACTTCCTTCCTCATCCTTGCTCTTCTTCTTTTTCTTCTTCTTTTTCTTCTTCTTCTTCTTCTTCTTCTTCTTCTTCTTCTTCTTCTTCTTCTTCTTCTTCTTCTTCTTCTTCTTCTTCTTCTTCTTCTTCTTCTTCTTCTTCTTCTTCTTCTTCTTCTTCTTCTTCTTCTAGAACAGATTGGAGAGCAAGTCGCCAAGTAATTTCTTCAATGGGATCATCTTGCATCTCCTCGCACGGGCCTAACATGTTAGAGCATAAATGAGGAAAGGTGTGATCTGCAACCAGAGGACTTTCCTGATCATGATTATCATGGGAGTTCTTTGTGATAACTTCTGTATGCTCCTCAACGTCCCCGTAGCCTTTGTCATCCTCCACCTCTTCTAGCGTGGTAGCAGAAAGGTTATCTTGAGCAGGATGTGAGCAAACTTGCTCCACCCACTCTGTTTGCTTCGCTGAGCACTGAACAGTCTCCTCCATTTCATGGAGAAATGAGGGATCAGAAGGGGCAAGGGCTTGGATTTGAAGATCCATCTTGGAGCATGATCTCTCAGTGTCTCGAGCAAACTGCTCCATGAGAAGCCTTAATTGTTTGTTCGGATCTTCTAGTGAAGTGTAGCAACTAGCATGGCTCTGCAGAGTGGCCCGTGAAGGCTGTGGCTAAATCAAGATCTGATGGCCCTTCTAGTTGTGGGAGGAATTCTTCTTGATAATGAGAGTGTTCTTCAAATACCCAAGGGTCTGATTGTTCTTCGTAGTAGGGGGGTTGGTACTGAAACCCGACTCCATAGTCTTCTCCTCCTTGGGTGCTCTAGGAAGCCTCGAGGTAATACCACTCGGGTGGTGGTGGATACCCCCAATGGTTGGTGAAGCCTTGAGAATCCATGTATCAGATCTGCACCAACAAAAACAAAATACCCAAGTGAAAAGCAAGGGTGGAAAAGAGATGATGCATAAAATAAATGCTAAATTAACAGAATTTCACATTTCTAGATCTACTGCCTACTCTGTGAATATCTATTATCTAGCAAACTAAGTCGAGTGATTGTGATTTTAACTAAAAGCAGTAAGAAAGCAGGAAATGGTTCAAAGTTCTTTAGCAAGGGAAGAGTCACTCGGGAATGAGTCCCCCTAGCTCCTTAGTTAGGTCGAGGTTGTAATTACCCTGGGTTGATTAACTGTTGATTAAACTGCGAAAGATCCGACAGTAGTTTGGAATCTCTTAAGCTGACCAAGCCCTCTCAGTCCAACTACCCGGCAGACGACTAGTCTTCACCGGGATAGAAAGCTGAGGCAATGAACGCAGAACTCCACTACTGGAATTGGATTCCAGTACAAAGCAGTAAATCGATTAACTCTCATATAATCAATCTACCACTACCGATTGATGAAGCTCTAACAACCTAATCAGATTCTATCTATCTCAGGTTGCAGCATAAATCAAGAAAAGATGATCAGACTTCAATTGACTCAATGAATCATGCATTAATTGATTATAATCAATCACTATAACAATCCCAAGTCATTACGATCAAGATCCCTAACACATGGAACTAGGGTTCTTCATACCCAAGTGAGAGAGGGTTCTACTCCATAGAGAGAGAGAGAGAGAGGAAAACATAAATCGGAGTAGTCATACTCATAACGATGAGGAAAATCTGCTCTGGGATGATGATCTTCACTCCTATGATGATTTCCAAGCTCGATTGATGAAACCCAGCTCCAAAGTCACCTCTAGGATATATTCTTCGCACTTTCTCTCTCTAAAACTCTGTTTTTTGCTCAAAAACTCGATTCCCCCTTC